GAGTAGATACAAAAGTTCTCATCATAAGGCAAAAAGCTGTATGTGAGGTGATGGATGTTAAATAGACTTATTATGGTGATCATTTTGCAATACAGGGGTAGAGCAAAAGTAGGTTTACAGTATGAGTACATGAAACAAAGTCATGCAAGGGGCTCGGCCCTCGAATCCCCAGCTTCCTCCAGAAGGTTGTCTGGAAGGTCATTTGGCTGTCTTGTCTAATTAGCATATTATGCTTTTATTATTATAGATTATTAAATATTGTATTATTTTCTATATGAACAACTATTAACCTACTTTTGTCCCACACTGTACATACATATATCAAATCATTAGGTTATACATCTTAAACGTATACAACGTTATATATCAACTAGAAGCCCAGTGCATGAAATTTGTGCACGGGGGTGGGTGTCCCTCAGCTCAACCTGCACCCTCTCCAATTCAGGAGCTCTTAGGAGAGCTGCAGTCTGGCCTAAGCTTCAGTCTGTTCTCTCTCTGTAAGAGCCGACCAGGCTGAGCAGGAGAAGGTACCACCCCCATCACCCCGCTGCTGTTGCCAAGGTGTTTTCATCAGCATGGACTCCAGTCCCCCATGAAAATATGGCAACTTTCTTTAGGCAATTTCAAGATGTCTCTTATATAGGATATGGTATTTCTTTCTATCCTCACCTGAGGATATTTTTCCATTGATTTTTAGAGAGCATGGAAGAGAGAGGGAAAGACAGAGAGAAACATCAATATGAGAGGGACACTTCAATTAATTGCCTCCTGCATGAGCCCTGACCTGGGCCCCACCCAGGGAGGGGCCTACAACCTAGGTACATGCCCTTGACCAGAATTGAACCTGGGCCTGCCTGTTCACAGGCTGAGGCTCTATCCACTAAGCCAAACTGGCTAGGGCAGAATATAACATTTCTTAACCCCTCCAGCACCACACCTTTGTTTTTCCTCCAGGAGTGAGATGGGAAAAAACCTAGATCACCTTCTTGGATTCTTATTACCCAGGTTACCAAGAACACTGAGAGTGGCATACGGGGAGCTTAGCCAATAAGCAGTCAGAAAGGTGTTTCTGGCAAGCCTACTCACAGGGCCTGCTTACAGCCATGGTGCCTGGCAGGCCCTATTCTCTCTGGGCCAGTGCCATTCATAGCTTGCATCACCAGGCACACAGACCCTCCCACCCACCTGTGTGCAGCCTCCTCCTGAGTGGTCGTGATGTTATGGTGTCCGGCTAATTTGCATTATATATATATATATATATATATATATATATATATATATATATATATGTATGTATATATGTATATATGTGTATATATATAATGCAAATTAGCCAGACTCTATATATATATATGGAGAGAGAGAGAGAGAGAGAGACCCAGTACACGAAATCATGGGGCTGTGGGTCCCTCAACCCAGCCTGCACCCTTTCCAATCTGGGATCCCTCTCACAACACAGAACTGCTGGTTCCCAACCACTTGCTTGCCTGCCTGCCTGCCCCTAATCACTTCTGCTTGGCAGCCTGATAACCCCTTTACCAACTGCCTCTAACTTCCCTCACCTGCTGTTCCAATTACCCCTAACTGTCCTCCCCTGCAGGCCTGGTCATCCCCAATTGCCCTCCCCTGTGGGTCTGGTTCCCCCCCCACCAACTTTCCTCCCCTGTGGGCCTGTTCCCCCGCCAATTGCTCTCCCCTTCAGGCCTGCCCGCCCCCCTCCTCCTGGCCTCAAATGCCTTTCCATGCTGGCCCAATCACCCCTAACTGCCCTCCCTTGCCAGCCCAGTCACCCCTAACTCCCCTCCCCTGCAGGCCTGTTCGCCCCCAACAGCCTTCCCCTGCTGACCCAAGCACCCCCAACTGCCCTTCCCTGCAGGCCTGGTCCCCCCCCCAACTGCCCTCCCCTGTGGGCCTGGTCCTTCCCCCCGTGGGCCTGGTCCCCCACTAACTGCCCTCCTCTTCAAAGCTGTGTGTCCCCCATCTGCCCTCCCCTGTAAGCCTGGGTCCCCCCAACTGTTCTCCCCTGCAGGCCTGATTGCCCCCAACTGCCCTCAGGGCCTGTTTGGGTTCTTCTTGCTTTAGGTTCTCTGTGTTTCCTGGACATGTGTGACTTTTTCTTTACCATGTTAGGAATGTTTTGGGCTATTTCTTCAGACATGTTCTCTATCTCTTTCTCCTTTTCTGCGCTTCTGGCACACCTGCTATTCGAATATTGTTACATTTTCACATTGTAACAAGCTTCCTTCAGCTGTCCTTCTGTTTTTCAGTTTTATTTTTCTCTGATTGAGTGATTTTTTTTTCAATCCTATCTTCTAATTCACTGACTCAATATTCAAATTCCCCTAATCTGCTGTGTATTTCTTCTAAAGTGTTCTTTATTTATTTCTGTTTTATAGTTACTATATCTTTTCTCATACTGTTGAGCATCTTTACCTCCATTATTCTGAACTCTATATTAGATAAATTTCTTATCTCCATTTCATTTATCTCTTCTTCTGTAGAATTCTTTAGTTCTTTCATTTCGGGGTTGTTTCTTTGTCTCCTCATTTGGATGCCTGTTTGGTTTTGAGACTATGTATTAGGTAGATCTGCTACACATCAATTTCTAGTTTAGGACAGTGTCAAATGCTCTTTCTGACTAATTTAGATCAGGCAAAATTCAAAGCTTCCAGAGACTGCCCCTCTCTCTCCTGACTGATAGGATTTTGTCTTGAATTTCCCTGAGGCAGTTGTCCGCAGAGATGGCTAGAGTTTTTTTTTTTTTGTGTGTGTGTGTGTTTTTTTCAACAGGGTGGGAAAATTGCTTCTGCCTGGAGGCTAATTACTATTCTCAGTCTCTTAATGGCCTTCAACCATTTTTCACTGTTGGGAAAGATATTTTTCAATAAGTTATCTACTGTCTTTCCTCCAGATATGACTGCCCATATAGAAATCGTCTGGATAAGAAAGATGATCTCGGAGTTTCTGATACTAGGAAAGAGGCAGAAAAACAATAGTAGGAATAGTGCAGGGCTTAACATACTCCACCTTGACATCTAGAATGTTATTTGATTTTTAAGTTTGGAATTTAAAATGAATTAGAAAAAAGTTGGTAGATGCTCTTGAGTTTAAATATGGCATTAAAACTCCAAACCCCACATATGAAACTATAAGATAGAACATTGTCAATAAAATCCAGTAATCTTATGAAGTTATATTTAAGTTGAGTTAGATATGTTCATTATTTTGAACTTTGAGCCTTAATGTGAGCCAATAATTTCTTAGTACTTTTATAAGGATGTTTACTAGTATTAATGATATCAAAGCTGCTTATTCAGAGTAGTCCCTTAAGACCCAAATCCCTCTCTCTTTTTTAAAAAATATATTTTATTGATTTTTTACAAAGAGGAAGGGAGAGAGATAGAGACCTAGAAATGTCGATGAGAGAGAAACATCGACCAGCTGCCTCTTGCACACCCCCTACTGGAGATGTGCCCAAAACCCAGGTACATGCCCTTGACCGGAATCGAACCTGGGACCTTTCAGTCCGCAGACCAATGCTCTACCACTGAGCCAGACCGGTTTTGGCCCAAATCCTTCTCTTAACTACCTACTAGCGACCTGGTGCATGAAATTCATGCATGGGGCTTGGCCCTTGCAGTCATGGTGGCTTGCCTCGGCCTTTGCAGCCCAGTTTTGTCTGGAAGGTCATCCAAAAGGACATTTGGAAGGTTGTTCGGCTGTCCAGTCTAATTAGCACTTACGCTTTTGTTATTATATATCAGTTATGTCATCCTTGATATTTGTATTTAATTGCCTCAACTCCACAACTGTAGACCAAATTTAACCAGGTAAATTTAACAGGGATTAAATGCAAGGTCTTATATTTAGGTTCAGATGAAGAAAGTGAAAATACTGTATACCAACATAGATGATGCAATTTCTGAAAGCTTGATTGATCTAAGATCTCTCTCTCTCTCTCTCTCTCTCTCTCTCTCTCTCTCTCTCTCTATATATATATATATATATATATATATATATATATATATATATATTAAATTGATTTTTTACAGAGAGGAAGGGAGAGGAATAGAGAGTTAGAGACATCAATGAGAGAGAAACATTGATCAACTGCCTCCTGCACATTTCGTGCTATGTGCCTGCAACCAAGGTACATGCCCTTGACTGAAATCAAACCTGGGACCCTTGAGTCCACAGGTCGATGCTCTATCCACTGAGCCAAACCAGTTAGGGCCTATCTCCTTTTGATAGGCAATGTTACTGCAAGTAATTGAAGATAATTAGACCATACCAAAAGTATTATGGTCAGTTTGGGTCACCATATTTTAAGGGTGACACTGGCAAATTAAAGCACATCTAAAAGAAAGCATCTGTTTTTGTGAAATTATGAAATATGGATTGTGTAACTGAAAAAACTGAGACTCTGAAATCTCTCAGCACCCCTGTAAGACATTGTCCTCATTTTACAGAAAGGAAATTGAGGCTGAAAGATAATTAATAACTGAAAAGTGATTTTTGCAGACCTTACATTTTTAAAAAAATATATTTTATTTATTTTTTACAGAGAGGAAGAGAGAGGGATAGAGAGCTAGAAACATCGATGAGAGAGCGTCATCGATCAGCTGCCTCTTGCACACCCCCTACTGAAGATGTGCCCACAACCAAGGTACATGCCCTTGACCGGAATCGAACCCGGGAACCTTCAGTCCATAGACCGACATTCTATCCGCTGGGCCAAACCCGTTTTGGCCAGACCTTACATTTGATTCTCAATCTAGTATTTTGTTTGTTTCAAAAAGTTACACTTTTAAGAAGCTCGGATATTAAGCCCCTATATGAGGATAAACTTGAAACTCTAGAATAATTACAGATTAAATGGGAAGAAAGGAAACATTCAGGGTAGGAAGATTAATGTGAGAATATAGTTTGGTTATTGGTATTATGTTTGTTAGTATTACAAAAATATATTGCCTTATACATACTTTTCTCTCTTTATTAAGGTTTTTTATTCCAATGAAGAATCTGGATATCTTGTTCTCACCATAGTTATATCAGGTCATTTCTTCATTTCCCAAGGACAAACACTTCTGGTAGGTTTTATGCATATAGTTTAATATGCAAATATTTGTATCTGCATAGTTTTACATTAATTTCTGTATACTCAAGCTTCTTCATTCTCACTGAACTCCATCAAGTTCAACAAATAAGCATTTATTGAATATTCTATTACACTGCGAAATAAAGACCATACTAAGTATTGCCTTCCCTAAATTTTCTTGGGAGGCAAAGTGGATTAAATGATTGAGATGAACCAGTATTATAAAGGAATCTTAACTGGAGAGATTGGGTTGAAAACAGGCTATATTTATAGAGAAATATGTAGAGAGTTTTTCATCTAGGCTAATGAGCATAAAGAGAGATTCAAAGAAAAAGCTAAAAGAAAACGTTAAGCATGCTATTATTGCTTGGTATAGATCTCTATAAAACTCTAATTTGATAAACATGCATTGTTCTTTATTACAAATATGCACATATATTGTGGGAAATTTTTGTAAAGAAGAAATATAAAAAGGAGAATAAAAAGAATCATCTTTCTTGAAAGTTTATGCTTGAATTGGTATTTCATTAGAAACAAAATGGTTGCAGAAAGAAAACAATTATCAACTTCCAACCAAAAAGAAAGGAAGTATAGGAGAAACTAAGATAGTGGCATAGATAAACACCTAAACTGCTCCCTTGCACAATTTCAAAACTACAACTAAGACAAAATGAACATCATCCAGAACCACAGGAAGGCTGGCTGAGTGGAAATTCAACAACTAGAAAGAAAAAGAAAAGTACACTGAGACTCAGAGGAGCTGCAGGAGGCAGAGGTACTGAGACACGTGCACAGAGATGACTGGCAACTGAGGGCGCAGCTGGCCATTTTCAAGCTGGAGGGAGACAGAAGCTCTGGACTTCACTGAACTCCAGTTTTGGGCGAGATTCTGGGGGCCCAGACTCATACAGAGTGAAACTGGACTGTCAGGAAAGAGAAAAGCACACTAAGTCTCAGAGGAACTGTGGAAGGCAGAGGTACCGAGGCGCACATGCATAGAGGACAGGTAACTGAGTATGAGGCAGGCTTTCTCAAGCAGGAGGGAGACAAAAGCTCCCCACTGCACTGAACTCCAGTTCCAGGTGAGACTCTGGGGATCCAGACTGATTTGGGGAGAAACTGGACTGTCTGGCAGCAGGTGAAACCCGAGGGCAGCTTTCTCTCAGAGATGCTTACAGTGATTACCAAGGGAAACTGAGACACAGGGGACTATTAGGGTATGGCTGATGGGAAACCAATGCTGTCTGCTCTGCCCTAAGACTCTGCCCCATCGAAGCTCAGCACAGAGGTCTTTGCAAGTCTTTTCCCATAAGGATGTCTCCAACACAGAAGTTCTCCCAATGTAGACACAGCTGATCCTCACAGCCAATTGGCCTGGAAGTCAAGTCCTCCCACTGAAACCAACAGTAATCAAGGCTTACCTACAATAAGACTGTGCACATAACCCAGAAAAGGGTGCACCAAGAGTGTCCACCTTAGGTAACTGGGGATGCTGAGCCACTGGGCCCTATAGGACACCTAGCACACAAAGCCACTCTATCAACTCAGGGAAGCAGCCAAAATGCAGAGACAAATAAATCACAAATGAAAGAAATGGAAGAAAGCAAACGACTGGATATAGAGTTCAAAACCATGGTTATAAAGATTTTCAAGAATTTTCTAGAAAAGGCTGATAAATTTAGCGAGACCCTTAAGGATAGGAAAAAGGACCAACTAGAAATTAAGCATACACTGACTGAAATAAAAAATATTATACAAAGATCTAACATCAGACTAGAGGATCGCAAGAATCAAGTCAAAGATTTTAAATACAGAGAAACACTCAATCGGAAAAGAAAAAAGAATCCAAAAGATGAAAAAAATGTAAGAAGCCTCTGGGACAACTTTAAGCATACCAACATCAGAAGAAGAGAGAGAGAGCAAGATACTGAAAACCTATTAGAAAAATTAATGACTGAAAACTTCACCCACCTGATAAAAGAAATAGACTTACAAATCCAGGAAGTACACAGAACCCATTCAAAATAGATGATTAAGTAAAGAGCTTCCTGGAACCTCAAACAAAAGGAATCCAAAAAGGACCACACCAAGACAAATCATAATTAAAATGCCAAGAGCAAAAGACAAAGAGAGAATATTTAAAGCAGCAAGAGAAAAACAGTTAGTTACCTACAAGGGAGCACCCATACAATTGTCAGCAGATTTCTCAACAGGAACTATGCAAGCCAGATGGGAGTGGCAAGAAATATTCAAAGTGATGAATAGCAAGAACCTACAACCAAGATTACTCTACCCAGCAAAGCTATCATTCAGAATTGATGGGACTTCACAGATAAAGGAGTTCAACACCAAACCAGTATTATATGGAATGTTGAAAGGTATTCTTTAAGATGAGGAATTAGAAGAAAAAGATAAAAATAAAAATCATGATCAACAAATACATACCTATCAACAAGTGAATCTAAAAATCAAGTGAATTAAAAATCTGAGGAACAGAATAAACTGGTGAATATAATAGAATCAGGGACATAGAAAAGGAGTGGACTGACAATTCTCAGGGGGAAAAGAGTATGGGGGTGTGGGAAGAGACTGGACAAAAATTGTACACCTATGGATGAGGACAGTGTTGGGGAGGTAAGGCAGAGGTGGGGTGGGAACTGGGAAAAAAAAAAAAAAAAAAAAAAAAAAAAAAAAAAAAAAAAGAAGGAATTCTTGCCATTTACAGCAGCATGGGTGGAACAAGAGAGCATTATGCTAAGTGAAATAAGCCAGGCAATAAAAGAAAAATACCACATGATCTCACTCATTTATGGAAAATAAAGAACATTATAACCTGATGAACAGAAAGAAAGATACAGAGGCAGTAAAGCATCACATATATTGTAAAATTACAGTGGGAAGTTTGGGGAGTGTTGGGCATGGGGGAAAGAGATCAACTGAAGGACTTGTATGTATGCATATAAGCACAACCAGTAGACACATGACATGGGGATGGGATCATGGCATGTGAGAGGGGTTAGGGGAGGCTGGGGAAAGGTCAATGAGGAAAAGAATGAGATATATTGTATTTACTGCTATGTATAATACCTTAAACAATAAAATAAAATTTAAAAAAAATCTAATCCTCAAACCCAGCTATAAACTAATTTTAATTGTCTAAAATATTGCTCTCTTTTATTAGCTTAATAAATAATAATTGATCGGGATTATTGAAAATTTAATTTTAAAATACCCATTTTTCTGCTCGTTTTTTTTTCTCTCTGCATCTTATCTTTATATTCTGTAGCAGATCATTTATTCAGGATTTTTTTTCCTGTTTTGAGTGTAATTTGAACCTAACAAACTCTGAGCTCCAGGGAAAGTGAGTCAGAAGCAGAACTCTGTAGCTTAAGCCAGGATCTAATCTATATATATATATAAAAGCCTAAGCAACTGTTAAGACCAGACAACCAGCTAGTAGCTTCAATATGTGCTAATCACCAGGGGGCAGACGCTCATTGCAGGAGCTACCCTCTGGTGGTCAGTGTGTCCCCAAAGCCAATTTCCCATGGCCAGCCAACCTCCTGTGGCCAGCCAACCTCCCACAGTCCCTCCCCCTGTACTAGGCAAATGGCCCCAATCACCAGCCAGGCTGAGGGACCCCACCCATGCATGAATTTGTGCACCAGGCCTCTAGTTTTTAAATAAATCACCTGGCACCTAAACACCTCTCATTTATCATGAAGTCTTTTGGTATCAGGGCTTGGGATTGTCAAGTGATTAGTCATCAAGTTATTTTTGTAACCATATGCTGTTTCCTCTGAATCAGGATATTTGTAGCAAGTATGAGCACTTGATCTTTTCCATAAAAGTAAATTGCTATGTTTCCTTCAAAGCACTTAGGATCATATCTGGCATGGTTTTAAAGCTAATTAATTACCTAGCAAAGTGCCAGTGATTCACATGATGCCCTTCTGGTCTGCTCTAACTGGTGAGTGAGAGGTGTCTGAAGCATTAAAGAAACTAGCTCAGTGACAATCTACAGCTGGGGTCCTCAAACTTTTTAAAGTGGGGGCCAGATCATGGTCCCTCAGAGAGCTGGAGGGCCGGACTATATGAACTACTAATTCCTACCCACACTGCACATATCTTATTTCGCAAAAAGGTAACAAATACAATATAAATAAAATGAAGAACATTTATAAATAAACAGATCACTTACCAGTATTTCAATGGGAACTGTGGGCCTGCTTTTGGCTAATGAGATGGTCAATGTCCGGTTCCATATTTGTCACTGCTAGTCGTAACAAGTGATGCAAGTGGGCATCAGTTAATCTTGATCTGGTTGGAGATTTCAGATGATTCATTCTTGAAAAAGTCTGTTCACAGACATAAGTGCTACCAAAGATGGTTACCATTTTGAGTGCATGGTTCCTGATATTTGGATATGTCTCAGAGGGGAGAGATGCATAGAAATTCAGAAGGCTACTTGACTTGAATGCGTCTTTCAGAGAGTCACAATTCTGCAGTTCAGCCAGTTCCATTTGGTAAATTGTAAGGACATTTTCAATCTCAACAGAAAATGGGTTACGAAAAAGCTGTATGTCCTGTTCATGTAGATGAAGCTCTTTGAATCTAAATTGAAACTCCTTTTGCAACAATTCCAGTGAATCCACACATGTTTTCTTTGGGAATGCAACCAATGGTTTGTCCGCTGACAGGTTTTGAATTGTTGGGAGATGGCTGAAGTTTTCCTCCTTTACTTGTTTGATGAGAAGGCCTAATTTTACTTCAAATGCTTTCACATGCGATGCCATATCACAGATGAGCTTCCCCTTTCTTTGAAGTTGCAGATTGAAACTGTTGAGTAGCTCTGTCAGAAAGGCAAGGTGCCATTTCCATTCTGCATCATTGAGCTCTGATACTTCTTTGTTTTTTGAAAGTAGAAAAGCTGTAATCTGCGGAAGTAAGTCATAGAAACATTTCAAAACTCTCCCTCTACTCAGCCAACGG